ACGACAGCGGCTACAGAACAAGAATTACCTTTGCTTGTGCTTTGTTCTGTACATTGCTTGTAACATTCAACCCTTTAACATGAACCGTAACTGAAAAGCATGGTGGCCTGGAGGCAAACTTTCTGCGCTGCACTGTTCAAACTGTTTGTGTTGCATTCTTCATTAATGAGATGCGGCGCAGTGTGTTGTTCAGCAAATATCTGACAGCTGTGTCCGTGTATCTTCCTGCCTGCCTCCTGAACAAACAGCTGCAGGACTGACCGGCCACCTCCCCCCCCGGTGGTGGTCAGCATTTTAGTATCTTCAAAGCTTTAATCCTCAACTTTGCAGCTTCTGTCCTGCACTTCTCAAAGTCTGACCATGTCCATATTGTGGCAGATAAATTTGAAAATGCTGTTTACATATGGAAATTTATGTCCCCACTAGCATTTTCAAGTCTTTTTTGAAAAGTTGTCTGTCCACGCTGAAACTTGAAAGCAACATCAAAGCTTTGCATTACATCATGTGGTTGAGTGGGACAGTCACAGGCCGGTTACTCTGCCGAGTCTGAGCGAGTGAAACCTTCACTTCATCGCCTACTGTTCTCCGTGACCACATATTTTGAGTTTCAGTATAGCCAACCTCAAATTGTTGGTGTTTGAAAAGGTATAGTTAACTTTTTTTAGGCATTTGAAAGGGTTACAAAAGGTAACAATTAATAGACTTCAAATCAAAATTGCTATTTGAAACAGTAGAATTAGCAAATCGCATAGGCTCTAATTTAGCATACACAACACATTTACTCTGTTGCAAGATTTAAACCATCATATCATTACTTTTACGAAGTTTTGCTGCCCTTCTTGTGTGACAATCATGTTTTTGATATTTGTTAACGCTCCATCACTTGTTCAAATGCTTTACACAGTAAATACTGAACTAAAGCGTGACTTAAAAAATTATATCGCAAATCAAATCGCAGTATCTGTCATAAAAATCCCAATTAGATAGTTCAGCAAATTCTGCTCTTGCCTTGAGGAGAAAATTCTTAATGCATGTGAGCAGCACAACATTTCATGCACTGCTTCATAAAGAAATAACTTTGTTTCTACTTCATCAGGCATGCATGATCATTTGGTCTGTCTGCAACAAACACATGGATGTCTTTAGCACATTTATACTCCCCCGAGAGATTGGTCAAAACGCTCTGTTACTGCTGGAAAAATAATGGCTTTGAGTTTTCAGATATAGTTGGCTTAAGTTATTCAATTACGTCCTCAAGGTTTGAAGCAGCAAACTGTCATGAGCTGAAACTAACTCGCCTACTCTTGTTTGAAGTTGTTAGAATTTTAAAAAAAAATGCAGATATGACTTGTTTTGCAATATAAAAAGTACCGTTTTTCTATACTGATACAGTGCATGTGGTTATTTGTTCAGGACAATTGTCAGTGTTGTGGTACTAGAATGTTGCGTCTTAGTTTCTGTTGTCCTGGCCAAGAAGTCAGCAAGTTGCTTAAGAAAAATCTTCTTGTAGCTTTTTATTTTTCACATCAAGCCTTTGTAAGTTAGCAGCTTCTGAAGATCAGTTTTACATCAGATTCAGCACCTTTTCAAAGACTTTACCCCACTAGAGGTCATTTTTGGAAAACAGACACATTCACTAATACAAAACAAGGGGTACACTCAAGCTGTCTAATGCTCAGTATCTGCCAATACCTTGTTTGCAGATCAACAAAACAAACACACCTTATAAATTTCATGACACTAGGGATGGGTGACAGTGAGGGGAAAAATGACTTGAAAAGCAAACTTAAAGTCACTGCACCGAGCGCACTTTATGTAATGCCGAGAATCTTGCCAGTGACCCAGCATGATCCTCAAAACAGCCATTTAACAATGTTACCATTCCTTCTCAAGGACGAGCGTATTAGTATTAATGAATGGGTGTTTGTATGTGTGAGGTAATGTTTGTGCGTGTGACATGATTGACAGATAGCTGGCTGCATCTCCTTCAACCAGGGCCTCCCTTTTTCACTGATTACTGTGTCAGTGTGTCTGTATCGCGCGCACACACACACACACACAATGCTGTGCAGACACACAAAAGGGAGAAAAGCCCACTGTGGTTCTCCCACCAGGCCGAGCTGGAAGTAAAACACAAAACAGATGCACCAAATGTTTCCACTCTCATGCATATGGAAATGCTAGCATATATGTATAATATGTGCTTGTGTGAATGTTTTTAGAGCAGTAATGTGTGTGTGTGTGTGTGTGTGTGTGGACGTTTGGTGTGTGAGATTGTATGTCAATGGACAGCTTCAATGTAAAACGCATTAGCATTCAGTGATGATGCTGGTCTTTCTAAAAGCTCTCATGGTGCCAATGGACTCTCTCTCTCTCTCTCTCTCCCTCTCCCTCTCTAGTTTTTCAAACATGCTATCACATTCGCCGGCCTCTGTGGATGGGTTTATAATTAAAAGTGCTCCAGCTCTCTAATATGAGGGGTATGACTGTGATTTAGACTATATGGCACAGATTGATCAGATAAAGCCAAAGAGTCCTATTTCGTTACTGCTAAGCCTATTCACATTGAGAGCACTGATCCTCTCTCTGTCATCCTCGTTCTCATCTTTAAACTGTCCTCTGCTGCTGCTACGGGCTTTTTTTTTTCTTTTTTCTTTTTTTTTTATATTTATTTATTTAACTCAGAATGTATTTCTGGCCTTTGCTGTGTTTCTGCTGTTTCTGCTTCCAGAGTTCACCTGTTAACAAATCTGTGTCTCCAGGTGTTTGAGCGTAGATGAAATTCTCCTATAAGCTCAATCACGAGGAGGCTCTGTGTATTCATAGAGTGAAGTCTTTCTCATTTTCTTTTGTTTGAATTTCCGTAGGTGGCCCTCTTGACTTTTGCTGTGATGGAAAACAACTAAATTCTAGAAATGTTAAATGCATCACTTAGCCTGTGTGTGAGCGAATTGTTGCCAGAAAAATGCTGCCGAGCGACGGGTTGAAAAAGATTCCATGAACTCGCGGAAGCTCGACAAAAATAGGCATTTATTTCTGAAAACAATTCACTTTATTTCTTTCAGCCTGTCACTGCTGATTGTGTCAAGAAGCTGAATAACTGCATTAACTATTTATATTGTGCATGCATATTGTGTTTCATCTCTAGAGAGAAACCGATTTAGTTTGAGGAAACTAAACGTGTTTGTGCTCGTGAATCGAGGCATTTCCCAAAAAAAAATGCTGCTTGTAGCAAACAGTCCCTTATCACGGGAAAAGAATGCCTTTTCGAATGACAAAAAGTTGTGCTGATGATGGTGCCGTAACCAAACCTTTGTCACCTTTTTGCACATTGCAAAATTGTTCTTTTTTTTTCCATTTAAAAAGCCTCATGTTTCTCATTTCCGTGTTTTTCTTATAGCGTGAACATGAATGTCTGTATGCTTCACATGAGGGTGTTGCAAGATGTGAGGCCTTTTTTTTCCCTAATCCACTGGATGTGTGTTGATAAGTACATATGTTTTCTATAAGGCTGACACCTGGGGATGGCGGTTACCGGGGGAGATGATTCTGCGTGTCTATGAAGTATGCCGGACAAGTTAGAAATGGGATTCTTTGCTCTCTTCTCCTCACCTTTTCTGTCCTCCATTATTCCCCCTTTATCCCCTCTCTCTCTCCTCTCTGCCCTTCTCTCCCTCCTGCCATTCATCTCTCTCTCT